CACACTCTCTTTACCCGACAAAAGCTGGAACTTAGTGTGCCATGTCATGCACGTATTGCTGTGTATTCATTTGACAAATTAATTGTCATCTTGAGGTTGAGACGAACGACAGATTCTTGTACAGCCAAGCGGCACTGATCTGCACTAGTAAGCAGTGCTGGCGTAGCCGCGGCGCCATGCCGCGCAGACCACACGCGTCTCGGCTCCCTTACGCACGGCACGGGACGGCACGATCGACGGATCGAGTATGCGTCGCGTAGCGCGTGCTTTACACGGCCACGCACGTTACGAAATAGTACGTACTAGCTAGGAAGAGCTCTGCACTGCGCATGCTGGTGGTTGTGCCGGCGCCGGCGAGGGAGCCGCGAGGAAAAAACGCCCGGCGCCCGCTTTGGCTCGCGTTTCTTCCTTGTGCACGATCGGGACCTGCAACGACTCGACGCGTGATGTAACATCGGAAGAAGGCCACGCGAAGCTTCTCCAAAAGCTGCCGTTTGTGTCGCTACTCGCTGCTGCCACTCAGTAATGACTTTGGGAGAGGCAGGCGCCGCCCGGCGTCAAGTGGCCGATTCATCTTCGCGCTGGGTGATCTACGTCCAACGGACGCACGTACCACTAGTCTTCTTTTCCCACATTGCTCGCACCTAGTGCTCGTCTATAAATACACTCATTGTCTAAGCTCAATTCGTGCTAGATCACTGCCCCCGGCAGACCACCTGACCCGGCCGCTCGAGATGGCCGCCAGAAGGCACGCCGGGAGCAGCTCCGGTCCCACTTCGGCCAACCTAAGCATGAAGCTGCTGGTGGAGGTGGACAGGCGCGGCACGCCCAGGCGCGTGGTGTACGCCGAGGCCGGCAAGGACGTCGTCGACTTCCTCCTCACCTTCCTCACCTTGCCGATCGGCACGGTCGTCAAGCTGCTCAGGAGGAACTCCATGCCCATGGTAGGCTGCGTCGGCAACCTGTACGGCAGCGTCGAGGAGCTCCCCGACGACTTCATCTGCCACAGGGACGCCAGGGCCGCCAAGGACACCCTGCTCAGGCCCGCCGGCGGCAGGCTTCCCCTGCTCACGAACGCGGGGTCGTCGTCGTCCAGCACCGGCGGCTTTGTGAGGGCGGGCGTGACCTACGAGGTCATGGACGACCTCGAGATTGCTCCCAGGTCTAACGTCGATTTCATCACCAACCTCAACAGATATGGTATCAGGGACATCGGCTGTCTCCAGAGGAAGACTGTCCGAGTTGGCGACACCGAGGTAATTCACGAAGAAACTATCTATACTCCTTTTGTACAAGAAAAAAAGTTGAACTAATCTGATGGAGGTGAATTATTGGGTGTGGTTTGTGGGTTTGCAGGGTCTCCAGATACTGAGGGCGTCACTCAAGTCGAAGACGGTCCTCACCGACGTCTTCCTTCGGACGAACACTCCGAGTCCGAGTCCGAGGGCCTTAACTGCAGGGTGAAGTGTCCTTGCCGTGTCATCCTTGTGGTGCGTGCATGTGTTTCTTTGGTCATATCGTTCGTGTTGGTCACTGGTTCACGGCTCACATACTATGAATAAAGGCAAGGAATTATCATGAGGTGTCTCTTCATTAATTAGATGATTTTTTAACAAATCTCAATCACACCAACTATGTCTATCCTTCTCTCCGGGTCACACCATATAGTAGTGCAATTGATTATAGTACTAGCAAGATGCTCGTATATTGCACAGAACATCAAGATGCATTTTTTTACAAAACATCTATTGTGACTGACCCATGCAGAAGTAATGCCATGTGTAAAAACTAATTATATCTTGAGAATTTTATTGGAAAAATGATATCTCGACCATTTCAACAAAAAATAAAAGATGAGAGATAAGGTGAGGAGGAGTGGGGCGTGGTGATGACTGGTGATCGGACTGGGCGGAGGTATGGGGATGGACGGCGCCGGCAGGCGGCAGCGGCCACCATGCTAGATTGTTCCAGAGACATCCTTTTTTAATTGCTCAACAATGAGGTTGTGGAAGATAAGAATGAACGAGGCAAGGCCTTATGTGTAAATGTGAAGAGAGGTGTGGGTATTTTTTGTAAAATTGTTATAGTTTGCTTTCTATCCGTCAGATATAGATCGGACGGTCTATATTACAAGATGACAGATACATCATCGTCACCAACTCAATCTTTTATAAGAGTAGAGATTATGCAATTTTAGTGTAAGATCTCAATCAGATCATTGGTAATAAAGGATGCCTTTGAGATTTGTTTTTGAAAGAACGAGTGGCAGGAAAATGACACTCTCCGGGAACATCCGGCCTTGTATCACATTGTACGTGATAGGAATAATACTTTTACGCAAATACTCAACTCCTTTCCCGCCGGATACATCCTTTACGTGGCCGTTGGTCGGCCCTTTTCTTATGTCATGACAATATTTTTTCTATCTTGTTTGGATTAGATTAATCTGACATAAAGACGAGATGTGTTTCATCGAAATCTAACTACAGACCAATTATAACACTTATCTGTAATACTATTAAAGAAGAATCGAACGTCGTGATGGTTCGACCTCCCTCCTATCGCTAGCTATCGATACATCCTCCCACCCATGTCACCCCATCTAATTATTATTTTTTCCGAGTTAACCAGCAGTAAGTAAACAAGGGAACCGACGGGTTAATCAATCCCAGCTCGAAACAAGAACGAAAACTGTCGTCACACACATCGCACGTCCCAACCCCTCGCCCCCGATCTCATCGCCGCCCCTTGTGCTCGCCTCCGCGGAACCCACACATGATCCTCTGCGGGTGCCGTAAGGGTCTAGAGGATTGGGATGCCTCCCATCCCGTGCCTTCCGCTTGCCGTGGAAGAGAGAGAGGGAGGGAGATACGGGAGAGGCAGGAGCGCGGCGGCGGTTCTGGGCTTCTGGCCGATCTCGTGCTTTCCCCTCGCTCCCGATCCATTCTCCTCGACTGGTGCCATCGCAATCGTCCCATTGCCTCGACTCCTCCAATCACTCTCCTCGAACAGTTGGGTGTGTTGAATCTGCGGCACCGGAGTAGTCATGCAGCGCGTGGCCGGGGACGAAGGAGAGGCGAACGGAATAGGTGTCAAATAGGTGGATCGCCGGTTCCAACGCAGTGTGAACGCGGTGGAGACGTACACGAGGTGGGAACGCACGCCGGTCCTTGGGGGAGCAGTGGCGTGGGAGGCGAGATCTCCCTCTTGAGCCGCCGTGGGAGGCGGAGGCGGCGGGATGGGATCAGGGCGCAGGCAACAAAACTGTCTATCCGGGCTAAGTAAACGGCGAGAGAGAGGACCGTCCACGGCCGAGTAACGAGATGGATCATGCGGCGGACGCTTTCCGGACGGACCTGATGACCATCACGCGATACCTGCTGAAGGAGCAGAGCAGGCACCCGGAGTCGCGCGACGACTTCACCATCCTCCTCTCCCACATCGTCCTTGGCTGCAAGTTCGTCGCCACTCAACAAGGCCGGCCAAGCTAAGCTCATCGGTCTCTCAGTTCAGAGCAACGTCCAGGCAAGCGCTTGTTTCCTCTCTTCATCAAAGTTGTTCTTCCGTGAGAATGGTGCTATGATGATGATTGCCTGTTTTCTTTGCCGTGGGTTTCTTCAGGTGGAGGAGCAGAAAGAAGTTGGACGTGCTCTCCCAACGAGGTGTTGGTCAATGCCCTTGTCAGCAGTGGCCGCACCGTATGACTCTTCTCTCATCTCGGTTCTTTTGATTTTTGAACAAGATCGTTGCTTCTATTCTGTTTTGTGACACTGCTCTGCGAACGACGTCATATATGCAGTGTGTTCTTGTGTCCAAGGAGGACGAGGAGGCTTCATACTTGGACCGAAAGCTCCATGGGAAGTGTGTAAAAAACCTCCATATGCTCTGCTCACAAACTTGATATGGTCGAGCAATTTTACTTCTGCTGTTTCTGATGAAGTGTACGTGTGGCTCTTCATTTCCCATTAGGTACTGTGTCTGCTTTGATCCCCTGGATGGCTCCTCCAACATCGACTGCGGCATGCCCATCGGAATGGTATGCGCACAAGTAATTTCACCACTTAAAAGGTTTAACGGAACACACAATTAATAAGAAGTTGGAGTCACTATCTGACTTGATTTGATTGTCGGGCACATGGATAAAACATGATAGTCCACTTGTTCCGGAAGAGACAAAAGGAGTCTGCCCCCCCTCCTCCTCTCGCGCGACCGCGTTGTCCCCGCGGGCGACCGGCCGTGCTCCGGCGCCCCCTCCTCTAGAGCCCCCCCTTCCCTCCCTCCCCGCCGCCGTCGCCGGCACCCGCGGCCGGGCCTGGCCCCTGGGTCGCTGGCGGCGGCGGCCTCTAGCCCTTCCCCTCTCGGTGCTCCCCGGCGTGGGGCGGTGTGCGCCGGGAGGTGCTCTTCGGCAGCGGCGGTCCGACGTGGCGGCGGAGATCCTGGCGCGGCGTGGGTGAACGACTGGGCGACGGCGTCGCCGTTGGCGGCGGGGTGGCGCGGCGGCTCGGCTTGAACCAGCCCTCTCAGCCCAGATCTAGGCCCTTCGGGCCCCATCTGGGTTTGGGAGGGCCGACGGCGGGTCGGGCCGGCGGCGTGGCCTCCAGGAGGCGGGAGAGGGGCGTTGGCGGCTGGGAGCGGGCGGCGTAGGTGCCGGCTTGCTGCAGCATGGCTGATGGGGCTTTGCGGGCCCGTTGCAGGCCTGGCCGGGCCAAGGGTGGCCTGGTGTGCCCTGCTGCCACGTCCGGACGGCGACCGCGACGTCACCGGGGGCTCGGGCCTCCCGCGCGTCGGCGGGGGAGGTGGTTCCCTCCCGCTTGGCTTCGGTGTGGTTCCTCCCGTCGCTTGGCGCTTCTTTCCGGTCTCCTTGGCCTCATGGTGGTGTTCGCAGCGGGGCGGCGTGGATGTGTCCAAGACCGTGGTGGCGCGTGCTTGCGGGTGGCAAGATGGTTGGATGGCCCCGGTTCGAGTGGGTAGCGGTGCTTGGGGATGCGGGAGAAATCTCTGCCGGTTCATCCGGCTCCGACGCGGTGACACCTGAGGATGCCATCATTCCTTCCTGAAGGGCGTCGGCACTACCCATCCCCCGCTCCCCTCCGTATGCCGGGGGAAACCCTAGGACATGTCCGGACAACAACGTCGTTGGCGTCGCATTCCTTCTTGGAGGTGCTGCTTGGTATGCGGCGGTCCGGTGCCATGGCGTGTGGTGGGACGAAGATGGAGGGCGCTGCGGTGGCGGATCATATGTGCTTGCCGAGCTGCCGTTGTTGGCTTTTATTTCTTCTTCTTTTTCCCTTTTGGGCGTGTTGTGCCGTTCGCCCCGGCAATTACCCTGTGATCGGTCTCTGGTGCTTTATAATATAAAGCGGGGGAAACCTTTTTTCGGTTAAACATGATAGTCACATCAGGAGAGGCGATTTCAAAAGGAGCATGAACCGCTGCATACCAGGGCAGTGAGTGTGTATTCCTGATGGGTGTTGGTGTGATTGTTGTGTTATTCTGAATTTAGGCATATGACTGTGTGTCTTGTGTCTGATTCAGTCCGTCATTGAATAATCAGATGACAATGGAGGTGCTCGACTCAAGGCAGAGGTACTCAAATTTGATCACTTTGTTGTAGAATCATGGTGCTAATTAAATAATCTCTTGACTGATTTTGAATCTTTGCCAATAGTTCAACATCTTTTTTTATCACAAGGTCTAAAAGGTATCATTTAAAATGTGCAGATGATCATTAGGTGTCAAACCCACGTCCCCTTTGTCATCTTCTAGATGAACTGCGATTATAGAAAGTGGAAAATTGTTGCTTGTTATGTTGATATGCAAACTACCAAATTGGGAAATTTTCGATGATGATGAAACTACATTGTAAAAAGGTGAATCATATTAGGAATGTCTCCCAACCCTCAAATTGCTGCTTGTTATATTGATCTGCAGACTACCAAATTGAAAAAATTTCAATCATGATATGATTCTGAGAATTGATGTATGGTTGCAGATGGCTACCAAACTGTAAAATTATCAAGACAAGTATATGCATACCAATAATGATTACTTTCTTTCTCAAATGGTTCCTGCCGTGGGCATGACCAGTGCGTGTGTATAAATTAGTATCATGTTGCCTGCACATTGAATTTATAACTCTTTTTTCTAAATAATGTGTCATATTTTGATTCCTGTCAAAATGACCATTGCTATTTGCTTTGACATCTTGTATGTTGCTTATGCTGATAATAATTTTATTTTTCTTGGGAATTGATTATGCTCTAGAAGGGTACATTAAGAGCATGTAAACTTCTATGATAATGAAAGTGCCACATAGACTAATTTATTCCGGTAGTGTACTGCCTTTTATGCATTCATCAGAGCTATTCCACAATTTTGCCCCACTTATACCTTTTTACACTTTTATATGTGTAGCTTCTTTTAAATTTTTAAGACATTGATTTCTGCCTTTTAAGTCTTCATGT